AGGGATTGCATTGGGAGTTATACCTGATGTAAATGACGAGTTGATGGGTGCTGACGAGTTGATGGGTGCAGCACACCAACATGGCACAAGTATGCATGTGTAACAAACCTGCACGTTGTGCACGTGTACCCTACAAATTAAAGTATAAGAAGAAGAAGAAGAAGAAGAAGAAGAAGAAGAAGAAGAAGAAGAAAGCTAACCAAAATCTAAATAGCCCAATATCTCAAAAATGACCAGTTAAACACCTTTCCAAAAAGAGTTATCCAGGTCCAGACAGTTCCAATGATACATGCTATAAAACAATTTAGAAAGAAATAATACCAATAGTACAAAATCTCTTTTAGAAAGTTATGTGAAACCAATGTAACTGTGATACTAAAACCAGTCAAAGGAATTGCAAGATAATTACTACTAAAGATCTGTGTCTCTCATTAATATACAGGCAAATAAACTTTGCCAATATTAGGGGGGAAAATCCATCTACACAAAGGATTAATACATTAAAAGGATAATTCATCATTCCTTGATGCAGTTTATCCCAGAAAAGCAAGATTATTTAAACAACTAAAAATGAATAAAATATATTTCAGTGTATCAACAGAATAAAGTAGAAGAAACACATGAGCATCTCAATATTTGATAAAATATATTCATAATGAAAACTCTGATAAATGAGAGTTACAAAGCTTTCTCAATCTGATTACAAGTCTCTCTGTAAAACCTTCAGTTAATGTATTTATTGGTGAAAAGTTAGAAGTCTTGCCCTTAAATCAGAGTGAAGCAAAGACAGCCACACATCAACTTTCAGTTTTATATAATACTCGAGGCCCAAAGCACTGCGATAAGGCAAGATACAGACGTTTTAAAAATATAAAGATCAAAAAGGAAGATGTATTTATAATATATAATTACATATGCATACAATTCTCATGAGACTAAATTAGAAGTTCCAGAATGAATATGTTAGTGTAGCAAAGCTTCAGGATACAAGCTCAATAAAAGTTAATCAAAATCATTTCTATATACTTGTCACAAACAATTGCAAATTTCATAGTCTTATAAACATGGTGCAATTAGAAAAAAAATAAGAAATCTATTTCCAAAGGAAAATAAAAAACTAAGGAACGGGCTCCAACCATGATGGGAATAACTCATCAGGCATCCTAACAAAATTACCTGTTTCAAAATTGAACAGAGAATACTTTGACATTATGCATGAGGATGTGGAGAGCCCAAAGAACTTCTTATATTTGTGATTTTCTTATCCTTCCCATCATTTTTTTTACCATCACAACTATTGCAGTCATTACAATCAACATGATGAGCAACATATCATTATCATCATTGTAAACTACTATATTGTGGTTGAGATAAATAAAAGTTTAATAAATAATACTCAACATTATTAATACAAACGATATAAATGTCATCTGTGTTTGTTTGGATTGGCCATGAGAAAACACTCTAAAGCATGAACTTGACTGTAGGAATTTTATGTGGGAGGTGATTCTAGGAAGCAAGAATAAGGGTGTAAGGATGAAGAAAGAGAGGAGGAGGAAAAGTCAATGTCAGCATGTATTATTGAAATGGCAATAATGACTACTTTCTGCTGGGCCCACAGAAAAATGTACAGAATACTTACAAAATTTCCCCTAGTTGGTCAGGAATCTAGTGTTTCACTAAGGTGGCTGAAGTTTGCTCCTAGAGAAGGAGTGCATGCCTTTCATTTTAAGACTTCTTTTAGGGTGTGCTAGGAAAAAGGCTGGTTGACCATCATAGATGTCAAAAACCCGGTCCTTGAATGCTTCTTTTGAAGTAAACACTTTTCTGGTGGAACTTGAAAGTAAACATCTGAATGTGTTGTGCCCATTCTAAATAAATCCACATACTTGTTCCCCACACTTTCTTGTCTTTAAATGTCCAGTTTTACAGCATCTAGATCATTGACCAAGTATTCAAGTTATTTGCCACAACATAGGCATCTGTGTAGATTCCAATCTCTGACACTTCTCTCATACAAGGTGGAAAACCCGACATATTGTTTGCAAATATGCCCATAGGGCATGGGGACGTTTACCATCCTCACAGTCTTTAGGTCTAAATCTAATAGGATTCTATATGAAACTGACTTTTAAAAAACACTTCAACTAACATATTGAAAATAGACTGAGGTTTGTTTGTTTTTTCCCTCCATCAATCAGTTTTAGAAAATCCCTACGAGGCTATTAGTGTGTAGTGACTGAGAAATATTGGTGAAATAGATGTAGGTGACGTGAGAATCTGGGATTCCTGTTCCCTTATTTACTTGTACTATCTGGACCTCCTCTAGCCAGCTCCCAGATTTACCATTTTGGTCATCAGATAGATTAAGCTTATACATATTTTTTGTGACTCTAAAACCACCCATTTATGATAAACACACTGAACTTCAATAACATAGCAACTTACTATTTCCTGGATGCATGCTCAAGGCTACAAGAGCCCAGTAGCCCATCGGAAGCTATAGCAGAACTATAGGTCTGCACTGCAAATCTCCTACTGACACTTGCTAGAGATTCCACATGTATGTAATCTACCAGGAATATCCTTAGTATCATTGTATTGAAATAATCACAAGAACCAAAGACAAGGCATCTTGCACCACATCCTGGACCTGCTGCAGTGCACTTTTCACATTATCTTTTGGCAAAGGTGCCCTTGTTGTTATCAGATCATGTATCAGACCATGACAATCCTTTCATAAAGGTTTGTTTTCTAAAGTCATTCTGAGGTAACTATTTTAGGACAGGTTCCCCACCCCTGCCACCCCCAAAAATAGGAGCCTGAGACAAGAACATAAGCACAAATATTTTAGGGAGCAGGAGTGAGGGAATGAAGACAGTGAGATGTTTCCTGCTGCAGGCGATGAGGCTTGATTTTTTAACACATCTGAGAAACAAAGAATGCCTCCAAGAATATCCATCAGAAAGACAAGAGGCTGGCTCCAGTTACTGCCTGGTTTCCTTAAATCCCCTGGCTATTTGATCCTATTTCTACAAAAATTCATAATGTGCTATAAGAATAATGTTGATATCAGAAAAAAAAAAATCACTAGATCGTTAAGGCCTGATTAGAATACTGCAAAAGATTTTCTCTCATGACAAAGAAAAAGCTGAACAGCAGCATCTCTGAAATCAACAGATGCTGAGACTTTAGGCTGAACCAAGGCAGGGTGAAGGACAGTCATGCAGACAAGTTCATACTAATAAATATGTTTCGTGTAGTGATCTCAAGCTTGCATTTGACTTATCAAATCATGCATCAAATTGTAAAATTATACAAGTAAACATATTGATAAATGTAGTGATCGATCACATGTGAGAAAGCCAGTGTGACATTTGATTACAAGTGATATTGAGATAAATATGCATCATGGGCGTTGGAATACACATTTTGGTCCTGGAGTCCTTGGTCACAGCTGATAGCCATTATTATTTATTTTAACAACTTAAACTTTCTTCAACTAAATACATTAAAATTACATTAAACTATATATGTAAAGTATAAGTCAGAAATCTTACATTGCTTCTGGATTCATAATGCAGACAGCTGCTGAGCACCGGCACTGGTTAATGTCATCATAAGGGATCCCCATACTAAGGCTCAATAATTGAGCTAAAATAACTGCAAGAGATTCCAGACTTATGGTTCTGGGGTGCTGAGAAAAAAAAAATAGATGTACACGTTTTGGGAGATTATTTTGTTTACTTGGAGAACTATGCAATTATTAAAGAGTCACATGGTAAAATGGAATAGGGGCATCTGTTATCCCCAAAAGTGGCATCCATGTTGGCCTAATTCATTATAAATATAAGAAAATTGTGAAAAATAAAATCTGAAGTTTTACTAGTATGTAAATAGATGGCTCATTTGGTGGTCTCAAAGAAAAAAATATTGCCCCAGGAATTTGTTATGTCTAACAACAATTACAGTCATATTTATATTCACAAAAGATAATATTTAAAGATAAATGCATAGAAAAACATAGTGTCAAGTTATGAAATTTGGTCATTACCAGAGGCTGGGAAGGGTAGTACAAAGTGGGGGATAAAGTTGAGATGGTTTAATGGTAGAAAAACTCAATTAAATAGAATAAGGTCTAGTATTTCTAGGACAATAGTGTTACTTCAGTTAACAACACTTACTGTATGTGTTGAAATATCTGAGTGGAATTGGAATGCTCCTAACACAAAGAAACGATAAAGGCTTGAGGCGATGGATATTCCAATTATCCTAATTTAATCATTACACATTGTATGCCTGTACCAAAACATCACATCTCCCCAATAAAAACATATAACTACTGTGTACCCATAATACAATTAAAAATTTAAAAGTTGATTCTTCAAAGATAATATTTTATATAACCATTTCATACATGTATTTATAAACTCATAAGTTAACCCATTGAATTAATTAATATTATGGTAATAATGACTGATAATAAGAATTCTGACTTTTCAATTGTTTCAATTTTATTGGGAAAACTAAAATACCTTTATAATTTCTCTTTTTGTAAGAGTAAGATGTTTATTATAGTGCATTTTGATCACACTATAACAAGAAATTTGGGAAAAATTCACATATCCTGCTACCCCTTCAAACATATCTAATAACATTTTGATGAATATACTTCATGATAGGTTTCTAGGTATACATTTTGGTTTCTTCTGTTTGCCTCTGTAAGTCAATTTTCCATCATTTTCTACCTTGCCCTCTACCCCAAAAAGATGACACAAATGGATTATGTCAGAGGGATGCTTTGCCCTCAGGTTTTGTCTTGATTAATTCTAATGGAGAGAAGAGAACGAGATGTGAATGAAACTGAAGTATTTATTACATCATTGCAATGATGCTTATGTCTCTTTGAACCCTTGACAGGAGGTCTACCTTCTGTCTGTGACTCTGACAAAATGACTCCCTTCCCTCCATCAACACTTGGTACCAATTAAAGTTCTTTAATACTTGCATGGAGGTACTGTAAAGGCTCTACATTTTGCATGACATGAATAAATACTCCATTTATCAAATTTCCACATTTTAATGTTTCATCTGCTTTCAGAGAGACAGTGTTAGGAAGAAGAAGAAGAAGGACAAGGAGGAGAAGGAAGAAAGGAATGAAAAGGAGAAGGAAAAGAAGAAGGAGAAGAAGGGGGAAAAGGAGAGAGAATGATTCTACAGGGAATAAATTGAAGGATTCAGCTAAATTTCAAAAGGCTAAATACTGTAGTAGTATATTAATACTGGTACTGTTATTTTAAACCACCTTGTTTTTGAGATATTATAGAAAAGGCTATTGACCAATAAATGCATCTGTATACTTTTCTCTTTTTCTCCTGTTTCCTGTCATCTCTTATAATTCACTAAGATGGAGACAACAACATCCAATGATTTCACTTTAGGCATTTGTATAAAAGCAGGGTTCTTTTTTTCCTTCATGTTCAGTTGCTCTTGCCTTCCCTGTATTCTTACTAGTACATATATTTGGATCTTTCCATTTATTGTATTTCCTTTCAAAGACACTTTCAAATGTCTTTGATCATTATAGGATCAAAGACATAGTTTTACATTTGAGATGACATTTCTTCACATTTTGTTTGTGATCATCTCGCTTTGGATTTCTCTTAATCAGTTTGGCCTGCCACAACAAAATGCCAAAGAAGACTTGATGGTTTAATCAAGAGAAATTTATTTCCTTGCAGTTCTGTGGAATTTCGCAGTTCTAGAAGTCTAAGATCAGGGTGCTGGCAGGGTTGGTTGGCATCTGCTGAAAACTTTTTGGCTTGCACTAGAGTGCCTTCTTGCTGGCCTTTCCTCTATGTGCACACGGAGAGCCTTATCTCTGGTGTGGTGTCTCTTCCTCCTCTTCTATGGACAGCAGTCCTATTGAATTAGAGCCCCACCTCCCGCCACCTCCACCATGACCTATTTACCCTTGATTACCTCTTTTCAGGTCCTGTCTCTGAATATAGTCACACTGGAGGTTAAGGCTTCAACATATGAATTCAGGGGGGACACAGTTCAGTCCAGACTAGCATAGAAAGTTTTTTAAAGCTATGGAAAGCAGTAAGAGAATTTCCTACAGACCCTTGTTATTATTATCTCTAATTTGAAAGCCAAGTGACAATAAAGCGAAACTATATTTAACACTGAATTTTAAAAAATGTATATTTAGGGACAAAAAATTTCAACAAAGCAGACAATCTTCTTTTGGTGAGTATACCTGTTTAGAACCATAGTTTTCAAATAATAACAGCAACAAGCCTTTATTAGGCTGCTTATATGCCAATCACCAGACTGAGAAATTTGTAAACAGGTGGGTATTTGTTGAGACTGTTTTTTTGCCTAACATGTGAGTATTCTCTATAATGTGCATTCCATATAAGTTTTTTTAAAAAAACACTCTTGTCTCTAATTTTATGTGTCAACATTCTATCTATACCTTTTTTTTTCTTTAATGAACACATGTTATGTTTTGTTCAACTCATTATTTAGTCAAGGAACTAGTAAGATGTTCACACCAATTCAAAGAGTGTATTAGTCTGCTCTCATGCTGCTAGTAAAGACATATCCAAGACTGGGTAATTTATAAAGAAAAAGAGGTTTAATGGACTCACAGTTTCATGGTTTCACATGGCTGGGGAAGCATCACAATCATGGTGGAAGAGGAAAGAAGAGTAAAGGCACATCCTACATGGTGGCAGGCCAGAGAATGTGTGCATGGGATCTCCCCTTTGGGAAAGACTCACCCCCATGATTCAATTTTCTCACTGGTTCCCTCCCATGACACATGGGAATTACAGGAGCTACAATTCAAGATGAGATTTGGGTGGGGACACAGCCAAACCATATCAAAGAACATTTGAGAATCTAGGAGTATATTAATAAACATGTTAGGAGAGAGTTGTAGGTTTTAGATACAAAACTGATTAGTGTTTTAGAGAATAATAAATAATATGTGGGTTATCTGGTCCACCAGAGAGAAATTATTTGCATCTCTACCAGACAAAAATCTGCACATTAATCTCTGCCACCAAATAATTGCAAACAGCCCAGTCAATTGAAAGTCAAGCCCAGAGTAGCATTGAAAGAGCACTCAATAATCTCTTTTGCCTATATTCAAAGCTTTTCACTGTTTGCACTCTATTTCAGTAGATTTTTAGTATATACCTACTATATGTTCAGGATCATTATATAATGCTACTAAGATTTTGTTTCATCTAAGTAATAGAAACCAAATACATATGGATTTCTATTTAAAGAATATTTTGCTGCTTTATATTAATATTGATACATAAATTGACCTATGGTTGTTATTTTTTGGTCTGTCTCTTACCCTTTAGGGGTTAAAATTCCCGTGGTTTTACAAATGGGTTTGAAACTTGTAGAGAAAATGTAATCCAATGATCTTTGCCTTTTACAGTTGAAATTAAAACATTTTTATCTCTTTTGATTATTGTCCTTTGGAATTATTTAAAAGCTTGTTTTGTGTGGTGCTTTCATACCTTTTAAATAATGTTTTGGATTTGATACAGTTTCATATACATATCAATGTGTGTATATATATTTATGTGTATTTCTGTACACATTATACACATTCATGTACATATAATTTATGTATACTTATGTGAAAACACATATATACACATGTATTGGGAAAGTGCATATGTGTGTACTTGTGTGTACGCATGTGTGTGTGTATCACATGACCCTATATAACTACTACTTTGTACTAGATACAAAATACTTTCATCACTCAGCAGGTTCTTTTCAGCAAGTTTCCAGGCATTACCTCCCCATAAAATATAATCTTTATTTTGATCTCACTACAGTGGTTTATCTTTACTTGCACTTTAGCTTCATAAAAATGGCACCATTAAGTATTATTTTATTTCTGGCTAGTTTTTCTAAAAATATAGTTTTGGAAATTCATTAATTTTGAGTGTAACTGTACTTCTTTTAATTTCTGCATAGTGCACTACAGGATATGGATATTCCACAATATGTTTACGTATTTGAAGGATAAAATGCCTCAATATTGTTGATACTAATCTCCCTGAAATTGATCTAAAGTTTCCATAAAAAGCAATAACAATCAAACAGTTTTGTTGAAATTGACAAGCTGATTTTATTTTATTTTATTTTTTTAAATTTATTTATTATTATTATACTTTAAGTTGTAGGGTACATGTGCATAACGTGCAGGTTTGTTACATATGTATACTTGTACCATGTTGCTGTGCTGCACCCATCAACTCGTCATTTACATCAGGTATAACTCCCAATGACAAGCTGATTTTAAAATGGAAATGCAGAGGACTTGGAATGCCTGAAACAGTCTTGAAGAATAACAGAGTAGTATGGTTTACACTACCATTTTCGATGTTTCACTATTAAGGTAGAGTCATTATGACAACATGGTGTTGGTGAAAGGACATACAAAACACCAATGGTCATAAAAAGATTCCAGAAAGAGGCCAGCAATATGGCAAGTTGATCTCTATAACAAAGACACAACTATATTTCTTTGGAGGAAAACTAATCTTTTAAATAAATTGTTATGAAGCAATTACCTATCCAATGTGAGGTAACTGATTCTGTCCCCCATTTTACACCAAACACATTTCTTTAATGTGGGTTATACATCTACAATTGAAA